CTTGATCTCCTTGTACGCACGATAGATGCCCTCGGGAAACTGTCCAAAAAAAACAACTGTTCCTCAGGGGATATATGTCTGGAACGGCTTACTAGACCTGAATGAGCTTCTTCTTGAAGTTTGTGAAGGCATGTTCCTCGGCTTGCCCTTCGTCCAAACCTCTTGAGAGTCCCACTGACTGTTACTTAGTTCCCCCCAACGACACTCGCCTGCGTCGAACGCACGAGGGCTGGGTGTCTTTTCAGTCGTTTTACGCTCGTCTCGTTGCCAAAAGTATACGGCTAGATGACCGTCCTGCCCCCACTTTATGAAACGAGCGCTGGAAGATCGAATAACACCAGGGTTACAGATGTCTGATGCTTATATTCGTGGGGCCTGTGAATGGATTATAGCAGCCGGCCCGCATCTATTTTCTCGGATTGGGGATACGGAAACAATATGGGCACAGAATTCAGCAAAGTGGCCATTCAAGCAGGGCGCAATCCCCAGAGAAAGATGGGAAATCTGGGGGAATAGGCTCAAAGTACTGTGGAGAGAACTTAGGCCTGACCAAAAAAATTTGCAGGATAAACTGTTCGAGGCAGGTATTCGCATGAATTCGGTACAACGCCAACACATGCGGGATGAGTTGGATCAAAAGCAACGAGAGTATAACGAATTTCGAGCATCGATCCAGGAACAACGAGAAGATGTAAGCAAATGGTTGGGTGGCATATAATTTGCTAAGATCCTGGGAAAGGCAGCATAGCATTAGCAAACTGTTGTTAATTTTACATTCATTATGCCATGAAAACATCAAGCCCACAGTGGCTCAGACTCCCGACTCCAGACTATGCATATCACTACTGACGCACCAGTGCCTAGGCGTACATCATGTCGCCGTCCTCCTCCTCATCGTCTTCATCCTGCACGGCAGGAATCTCCTTCTTCTTCCCCAAGTCTTGACGGCACATGGGACATGTACCCTTGCTGCGTAACCAAGGCCCGACGCACTCGAGATCAAATCGATGACCTCCTTTACATGGGAGCTCAACAACGAGACAATACTCGTCTTCTAAATAGGGCACCTTACAGATGGCGCAGTCGTCGTCTTTCTTGAGGGTTTTGCGGTTGACACGGTCGATTGAATCAACGAACTCTTGTGACACGCCATGCAAGCGAGTGGGGGGATCGTTGATATCATCTTCGAGATTCATTATCAGAGACTCTAGAAAGTCTCGGTTATCGTCTGTAGGAGCAGTTGTGTGCAGCTGGTGGAGCTGTTCCTGGAGGAGGCGGAAGAGAGCAGCCGTGTCGACGGGGGTGGGCGTGGCGTGTGGGTTGTGATGAGGAGTCTGGTCGCCTGAAGGTTCGGCGATCTGATCGAGGAGGGAGAAGAATGACGACATGTCTACGCGACGGCCTGAGCGGCGGCCTTCAGCAAACTTGACATTGTGTTCGACTTTAAACAGTTAGCTAAAAGATAGGATGAATGGAGGGGTTGAGGAGGGGTTATTTCATGTTACCTTCGTACTGAGTAGCCATTGTGAATCCTCGAAAACTGCCTTTGATTGTTCGTACGCTGTTGATGTAGATATTGAGCAGGGAGAAGAGAGGGCGCGCTGGCATCAAGACGTTGTGGTGTACAGTGTAACGGTCAGACCCAGGCAGAGATGATGTCGCAAGTCGAGAGCTCTTGAGTTGTGGGGTAGGGAAGAAATGAGTGGAGAACTGGACCCCTGCTTTGAAGAGTGCAGGACGCCACAGTCGTGCATTAAAGTGAAGGGTACATCCATCAGATGCAGACAACCTACCTAGGTATGGAGGGCAGGGCAGGGCTGAGAAAGTTAGTTGTCTGATTAGGTTCTTACAGCGTTACATATGGCCCTTGAGATCGGTCAACAAAACAGTGTATTCAAGAACAGCGAGGCCAGATCGGTTTGAAGAAGAATTGAGGCTGTTCTAGTAGAGCAATTGACTTGATAGATCAAGATAGCATCACATGCCAACTCAGTTTAATGTGGCTGATCCCATCCCGCTTGGACCATGCGTCATATCATTCAGTCCCAAGTTTTCCATTCAACGTTTTAAATACTGTACTTGCGTCTGTCTTAGCTGCCTATCAATCGATCAACTAACTACCTACCTACCTACCTACCTAGTAACTAGAGTCTGAACTGATTCGCTATCTTCGCTTCTCTGCTGAGATATCTGAGTATCCTGTCTACTATTGCTCTCTCATCTTGATACATACCTCCATCTGCTGCTATCCTTACGATTCGACACTTGTACAACCCTTTCCCCTACCATAACCACTAATTTACCCTATCGCCATGTCTCTGTCCTCTGCTGCCATCATCGGCTCAACTGGCCTGGTCGGCTCAAACATCCTTTCAACGCTGCTGGCCTCCGAAATCTACAATCCTGTACATACCATCACTCGACGCACTCCCAAGGCGACATCACCTCACCTCAATACGATAGTCGATGCCGATACTGCCAAATGGGCAGAGCTTCTCACAGGGCTCACACCCAAGCCATCTGTCGTTTATTCTGCACTGGGTACCACTCGCGCTCAAGCAGGCGGAATCGCCAACCAGTGGAAGATCGACCATGATCTCAATATCGAACTCGCAAAGGCATCCAAGGCTGCAGGTGTCTCAACCTTCGTTTTCATTTCCAGCGCTGGAACACGGTCTCTGCTCTCCTCATCTTCGCCGTACGCAAAAATGAAGAACGGGGTTGAAGACGCGATCAAGGAACTCGACTTTGAGCAAGCCGTGATTCTCAAGCCCGGTATGATCCTCGGCCACCGAGAGGCCAGCCGCACAGTGGAGGGTATCGCTCAAGGGGCAGTCAACGGTCTTGGCTATCTCAGCACTGGTATCAGAGATACTTTGGGTCAAGATGCTGATGTCATTGCGAAGGCGGCTGTGAGGGCTGCGCAGTTGGCGAGTGAGGGAAAGGCGCCGAGTAAATATTGGGTTCTCGGTGCAAGCGACATCGTCAAGCTGGGAAGGACTGAGTGGCTGGGTAGCCAGACTCCCACGGAGACGAAGACAGAGGCTGCTGCGTAGAATCTTTGCGAGAGTGACTTGACATGATCTCGTGGTACAGTCACGACTCTCTCTAGCTTTGCACAACGCTTTCGCAGACTGCCAGAATCAATTAGCCATTCAATGGCATGCTCCCTTAAACACTCATTAATAAAGAGCATGAAACCAATAGAGTGATTTCTAATTCATAATCCATCTTCTCCTCTCTCTGCAACACTCAAATACTCTTGCGGCAGAATCGCGCAATACAAGATGATCTTGAAGCCATCAAGACTCCTGCTGGAGATGATTTACTAGAGGAGCCCACAAACGAGAAATGATTTACCATTAGGAGCACATAGTAATCCCATTCTTTTATTTGTCTCGTACCTTACATATGAGCTTATGATATGATACTGGCTGGATATGATTAATTGCTCCCATCACATCTCACTAGTTCTTGGCATCAGAGCCCCAACCCTGTCTATGATTCTGTACACCTTGTGTTGCGTTTCACAAAGCCATGAAATGCAGTAATTTTCCCCTGCATGAAGACATGTTCACGCTGAAGCTGGTATATACCTAGGTTAGTAGGTAGTTATCAAAGGCCTCCTACTAACATTAGGCAGTAAGCAAGTCTTGATCTTTCCTCCGACCCATCGCACTTCGGCATTGCTTCTCCCCGCCCCCGCCATTCGTCGGATCTCATCATCAACTCCACTCCTCGACTCTGATAACCACCGCCAGCTTCTATCAACTTCTCACTCACTCACTCACTCACTCACTCACTCACTCAATCACTCACTAAGCTTCATCTTTTACTGCCGCAACTCAACTTGGATTAACTCATGTAAGCTTCACCTACGAGAATACCTTATCGACATGCAATACTCATAATTTGATAGCCCGGTGACACATATCCGCTATCGAGCACATCATCGTTTTGTGATTACATATCATGTCTTCCCGTCCTTCAGTCGTCGGCCCAGACTCCGGCCCCGAGGCCCCTTATCCTCTTCACATGGAAGGCAAGGTGATCTCTGGTTTCGGCCGCGGCTCCAAAGAGGTACGTCTTGGTGCATGTATCTCTTATTTTACTCATACCTCCTAGCTCGGCATCCCAACTGCCAACCTCCCTGTAGACGATGCTCTCACACCGTGGATCGCCAATATCTCCTCTGGAGTCTACTTCGGCTATGCCTCTCTCGCTCTGCCCACAACACACCCAGACATCCCATCGGCTTCATCCAACGAACCTCCCAAGTCTGACACAGAGGATGCTCTCTTCGCTGCCGAAGCCCCTGCTAATCCGCCTTTCCACATCTTTCCCATGGTGATGTCCATCGGGTACAACCCCTTCTACAAGAACACAGTTCGCAGCGCAGAGGTTCATGTGCTGCACAAGTTCACCGCAGACTTCTATGACGTGCCCATGCGTCTCCTCATCCTTGGCTTTATCCGTGAGGAGAAGGACTACAAGAGTCTGGAAGCTCTGATTGAAGATATCAACTTTGATTGCGAGGTTGCAAAGAACAGTCTAGCCCGAGAGGCCTGGGCTCCTGCAAAGGGACGTGTTATCGGTGGTAAAGATCTTGAGGGCAAATTAGACGTCCAGTGGTTACTTCGAGATGCCTAGGATAGATCCATGAGAAATAGAGCACGGTAAAAAGTGGCCGGGAGTTATGGATAGATAGCAACATAGAAGAGCTGGAATTCTTTTAAAAAGTCATGTTTGTTTCATTTCACATCTGCTTAACTACCTGGGTATCATGCGAAACCCCCATCTGCCTAACTTGGAGCACTACCAATAAACTATGCAGCATCAAAGCTAATCCTCTACACAAAAGTGTGTACTCCGGATCTTTTCCTTCTCTTGCAAGGTAGCCCTCCCTTAAAGGCCTGGCTAGTATCTCATTTTCAAAGAAAATAACCTCCAACAAAAAGGGAGAATGAACGTATTTCGGTTTTGCCCACAGTCATAAGTAGCTAAACTGCCAGTTGCTGGGGTCCTTGGTCTGGTAAATATCGCGGTAAAAACTGCACCCGAGTTAGCGAGGAAGAAGTCTTGAGGTAAAAGATACTAGAACTCACATTCATTATGATCATCATGGGAATGTCAAAGACGTCTCGTTTGATCGTCCAACAGTAAGTGCATTCAACCTTGCCGTCCCTCTCAATCCTCGATATACCGTGCTCGCTGTCAATCCGCGTGACTCGGCTACTGAGGATGCTCGGCTGTACGTCCTTCGGAGCAGTATGATCGGGTTTGATATCCATGCTCTGAGAGGATCGATACTTGTTGAGTCGGCAACTTCTCTGTACCTTGCCGCGACTGTCCTCAAAGGCCAATTCCGCAAAGTCTTGATAAAACTCGACCACACTGTCATCATCCAGCAGCTCGCCCAAGAAAACAGGCTGAGGTCGCCCCCCGCTCATGTCAAGGGTGGCTCTTTGAGGCCGGGGCGTTGGCATGTCTCCCTGAGCATTGTTGTCTGGTGTGTTCGACCCATTGGTCGAACGCCCGCTGTAGGTATTGATATTGAGGTTTGGCTCTTTCCCGAGTAGCACCTCTTTCGTCCAGCCTGTCAGCGCGATAAACTCTTTGTTGACAGCAGCGACCTCGCCCGATCTTCGACAGACAATGGTCGGAGCGCAGCAATGCTGTAAAAAGTCATCATATTCTACCAAGGTTCTTTGAAAGCACTTCTCCATGAAAATGAGATCCTGGCGAGTCAGATCTTTGGTACACGATATGAAAGACGGTCGAATCTCCCCGAGGGCTTTGGCGATTCGTAGTAGCTTGTTACCGGGCAGACGGTTTCGTAGGACAGCCACCATGTTGTGGAACCCGGTTGTGTAGGGATACGGCTCTTTTACACTTTCGTAGATAGCGGCAGAGTCTCTTTGTCGCTTGCCAAGATACGATTTGGGATTCGGCTTAGTACTCTTCGGTCTGTGTCGTTGTGCGCCAGGAACTGTAGGAATTCCAGCAAAATTATGGCCTGGTGAGCCTTCCATGCCTGCAACGGAATGGGGGCTGGCTGTCGCATCTGTACTTGGGCTGGCAAGACTTGTAGGCCCGGCTGCAATAGCATAAGCATGGGGTAGTCCGTGCTGGAGGTTTCCCTGGGCATATAGAGATTGGTTATTTTGGTCCATACCCGAAAAGTCGGCCCCTAACATGGGATGATCAAAGCCGTTTCCGTTGCCATTTGCATTTCCGAAGAGAGCTGCATAGGTGGCCTCGGTGGTTGGAGTTTGCGACAGGGAGTTCTCTCGTGGAGGTGTCTCGGCTCCAAGGGCCATCTTGTTAAGAATGCCAAACTCCCAGCCGGCGTATTGACTCCCGAAGTTCAGACCTTCGAGGTCAAAATTGTACAGAGCAGGGTTGCTGGGATCGAATAGGGCGTTGAAGTCCATATTAGCGGTAGGTATAATATTGTTGATTGGAGCGTGTGCATTGCTGATGGGAGCCTGGAAGGATGTCGGGGACGTTTGTGGGTTGAAGGGTAGACTATCAATGCCAACAGGAGTCTGCGCCCCCGTCGAAAAGACCGGCAGTGTCGTAGTGCTCGCCTGAGAAAAGAAGTTGCTGCCAGTTGCAGACATACTATCTGACTGGCTGGCATTCGAATTCTGGCGCTGAGCGTTGGGCCTTGCGGGAGTAGGATTGGGACTGGGGTTGTAATTTGGGCCAAGGACAGGCCGCAGGGCTTCCGGAGGAGCATCATGAAGGTATTTAGCCTTCTTGCGCACACCATCTTGGCATGCATCAGCGAGGCCGCGCTTGATGCACCTTTGGCATGGTCTCTCATCTCCTGGAAAGTTGTCAGTTCAAAATCTCTTCTTGGCTGTCAAGCACGAAGATCTCAACTGTGACTCTTGTCCCACTGAAATGGGCACAGGAAGCGCGCAAGACAGTTTAACAGCGAAAATACCGACAACTGATGGATTAAAGAGCCAAGCTTCACATGGAGAAAACGAATTCACATCATGATTATTGGCAAATTGCCAGCATTAGGTGGTTGCAAGAACACTTACCACAAGTCAGATGAGCTCTTTGGCATGCAAAGCAAGCCCTTCGCGCCTTTTTCCTCCTCGGGCGCATAGGGTCTTTGGGGTCGTACTTCTTCTTGACCTCGGTGGTGCTCTCGGTAGTGCTCTGGTCGGTCATCTTCTCGTCTTCTTCCCTGAGAAAAGTTTCCGTCTCGTCTTCGTTCTCAGACATAACATCTGAGACCTCAGTGCTATTCTCCTCCATTTCGTGCGGCATGGTGTCTTAGGTTTTATATACAAGGCCTGGCGACCAGTACAAGGTCTTGCGACAGCTGGAATATCCTCCTCTCAGCTTATTACAGCCCGAGACTTTGTTTGGGTTAATGCACACAAAGCGGCTCGGATATGCAGGCTCCGATCCTAGAAACCTTTTTTTTGTTTCTGTCTTTCACCTTGTCCTCCTTTTAGACAGCTTTGCGAAACCACACTTATCCAAGCCGTGGTAGGACAGCCAAGCAGGGACAAGTACGCCGTCGAATTGAAGTTGCAATCAGTGCTGTTCAGAGTGACAACAACCCCCACGGTGGCGTGGCGATGCGCAGATAATCTTTCCCCTGATCTCCCTCGCGGATCGCTCACGCGTGCTGCGTAGGTGATGTATGTGAGACTAGGAACAACCTGAACTGCAATGCCCAGATCCGGTAGGACTATAGCGTTGGGCGCAAACGAGGCCAGAAGGCTGTATGCAGCCGTGTATTTGATGATCACGTCTCTGGGCTAATTGGAAGACCGAAACCGCTCGGTCAAGCTCGTATCGTAGAAGGGGCGTACTCGATGAAAGCCAATAAGTGTATAGGTATGGTACGCAAAAGAGGCGTCTTAGTGGAACGTATATTGAGTCAATAGTAGGTCGCAGGGGCCGTGAGGCTGTGATTGTTGTCACCGAAGAAGGCGGAGGAGGTGGAGGAGGTAGAATTCCGATTCGATGAGCTTGGGTGATCGATGATCGCTGGATGCAGGAGAGTCGTCGGTCAGCGGTAGAGGCGGAGCTGTCTAAGGCGACACCGGAGGTGAGAGATTTGGCGACTGTGAGGATGCGAATGACAACGAGGAAAGAATAGGATGCAGCTACCCGCGGGCCATGAGGAGTGGCTGCACCCAGAACCAGCACCAAAGCCAACCAATTTAAGCAGCAATTGACCACTACAGCAACAGTGGGATCTCACACGGCGTCGGCGACCGTAGAAGCAGGCTGTGGTGACAGCGTATATGTAGCGTTGTGCAGAGATGAGGCATGCGAACCGGGCGCGGCGCGGGGGACAAAGTTGAGCGCAGATTGTGCGGAGGAGCCGGGATCGCGAAATAGATTGGGCTGAAGGGGGATTATAAGAAAAGGATAAAGGGTCAACGTTGAGGGTAGAAGTCGAACGAGGCAATTCGCAGAATAAGTTGTAAGCAATGACTGGTCCAATTCAAGGTCAGTTAGAAGAGCCCAGTCAGGTCAGGCGACAGGGTGTTGTAGGTAGTAGCATTGTGGGTTTTGGTGGTTGGTGGATTAGCAGACGCCACAGACAGGGCAGTGGGCAATTGGAGGATTGCAGATGCAGATGCAGGTGTTTTGAGGGTGTTCCTGTGCTGATTTTGCTTGCTCCAAGGTACCTAGACTTAAGCTGAGAGGAGGCCTGCCTTCTGCTATAAGAATCGAGTGCGAATGCGTGCTACTAGAGGCATCACAGAAGTACCAAGTTTGCTGTGCCAAGTACCTGATGTAGGTACAGTACCTATCAACAAGGTGGGTTCACAACAAGCTCTCAGTCGGAGAAAGTGGATTGTATTTAAGGGGAATAGAGTGACGACGAATCTTGATTCTACATCACAAGGTGTAAAGGCAGCCAAGGCTCGTTCGTTGTGCATCCATGGCATGTGCAAATGTAGAAACCCGAGGTGATGATGCTACATGCAATCTCGTGAACAACTACAATACAGTAGGGAAGGATGTACATACAAACAGGACAGGACATTGATTGGATTGACAGGCGGATGATCGAATAACCATACAGGTATTAGCTGCAAACCCACACAGGGTGGGTAACTCTTCATCCTTTCAGTCAATTCCCCTGTCTCTCTGCGTAAGGTAGCAATGAAACGTCAAACCCTTCAACCAGCCTAGACATGGATGGGTACCTACCTATCGTACATATCTGATGGTCTAGTCAATTGGTTCAACATCGTCACCAACAACATGTGTAATCAACACGCTGATCATCATGAAAGATTCTACCTCGAGCAGTCCCAGGTGGATTTGGTAGACTAATATGGCTGATATTCTTACTCAGTCGTTTATGCCTCAGCAAACCGAAGCTTCAAGCCTCCCATTTTCACCACCCGCTAGCAGAAACCAATCCGAGCCCAATCAAAGTCAAACTCTTGACTGCGGGGTTTACTAGTGGAGGGAGTAACCCGCTCTGGGGAAACTGGGCGCTGGCTATTGGTCTGACGATGCTTCTATTTGTAACTGATGAAGCCTTGTAATCAAGATCAGATTTTTTTTTAGGTATTCAAACCAGGGGGACAGTTGATGACTTGACTCAATTCACTTCTAGCGGTCAGGAAAGGTCATGGAAGGAGAATTTCACCTCCTGCGCCTCAAGCAATAGTCTCGATCGAGAAGATGAAGCTAAAGAGGTCCCGCTGAGCCGCCAGAAACTACTCCATTGATCCATCCATTCGAATTTGTATTCCCAATCACCAGCCACCCTACAACCTCAACCCCTAGACCTGGCTTAGACCGATGCATTGTGAATCGCAAGAGTCTGGGGCCCTGGTTGGATGCTTCTCTGCGCGTATGTACTGCACACGTCGACATACCAAACTCTCTTTTGTGTTGGTAATGGCAGAGTCAGCCAGAGTGTGATCCGTACCTCGCCTGTGACAGGGGTCTCTGGGTGTCGTGCGACTGCAGCACCGTTGCGACGAGGTGCAGCGTCGGGCTGATGTTGGATAACTCTGGTGATACTTGGTGCAGAATGCCAATTGCCATCTTGCTGATAGTCTGTCGTATCCGTACTTGCACGGATACATGTATATGTTTCAAGTCATCTCTTGAGCAACTAACACGCAATTCTAGCCCTGTAATTAGTCTTTGCCAAAACCCAGAAGCAAAAAGAAAATAAAAGAGGACCATGGTGCTACTAACTTAGTAGATAAAGAAATCGATTCACCGGCGCAGTCACTGGCTGGCCGGTGTGGAACAGCCGGTAAGCGGCGTATAAGTAAGGTACCCGAAATGAACATATAGAGCACAGAGACCAGTAACATAGATAATCTACAGAGCTATACTTGTCGCATTCAGTGCTACTCTCCTTGACAACTGAAGCTTCATGAATCACAATTTGTCACATTCATCAGTGTCTGCCTCCAAAACTGTACCGGAACGCGGGGCTTGATGCCGAGCCCGGGTGCCGGAGGTGAGGGGCGGAAGCGGAAGCCCAACGCCGCCGAGGATAGCCAACGCTCAGCTGTTTACGGTGAAGAATAGAACGATCCAGGTTTGATAGTCAGGGTCCTTTATTGGTTATCCCATACCCGCGGTTCGCTAACCGACCGCAACCCGTCGGTGACCGAGGCTTTGGGGTTTGTCTAGGACTCTTGAATCATGCCAAGATACAAGGCAACGATCCTCACCAAGTTGCGCAAATGGAAAGTCTGCGCGGGAGCCTGATCTTCACTACATAACTAGGTCATAGAGACTTGTGCCTCGATGTTAGCGTGGAAGTTTGCGTTACAATTACCTAAAGTCAGGCAGAAAGGCCTTGTCTCGGGTGTAACTATTTGTGACTATCAATGAGACTCAAAATCCAGTAGCATCTTTCAGCTTTTATTTGCTTTTTTCTTTGTTTCTCCATTGCGGCTGCTGCATTGCATGACAGCCGCTCCAAGGCAAGGATTCCAAAAGTAATTGACACGTCCGGCTGAGTTTCTTGTGGGCAATATGCCCCCTAGTCCTTGTTGCTTGCTTTTTATAAATATTCACAGCGGGTAGAGACATGCGTGCGTCAATGCGGTTGGAGGATACGTCCCATGCTGCTGGCCGAGAACCTGGAGTCGAGTCGAGGCTGCGATAGCCGAGGGCCTGCAGATTGTAATGTAAATTTGATGTAGGGACTAAGAGGACTGAGACACCCTTGTCGATCTTGAAGATGTTCTTCACACCAAAGTTGTGGTTGGCCTATCTTATGCCAATGTTTGGTGTTCTAGCTCAAGGGTACGATGTGATATTGATTTTTGGCAAACATGGCCGGCTGACTGGGGTGAGATCTCCCAAGTATGATAATCAGCCATCTGAGTTAGATGTACTTATTGCATTTTCTGTGAGGAAGACCTTATCTGGATCACGGCTGTTGGAGCCCGCAACAGCTGAGCACTTGTATCAAGCCACCATTTATACTCGCCTATTATTGATCATCATCTGCCTGTCCGTCATCCAGATCCCCGCATTCGCCTAGCGGCCCGGGAAGATCTTTACTCGAGATAAACTTAGCTGGCTGCATTATTGATTCTGGGGGAATCCTGAATTGCCTTTCAGCCGAGGCGATCTTATCAAGCATTCACAATCAGATCATGCACCCTGATCGAAATTCTTGGTATATCCTCTTTTCAAGCAATAGATTTGACCTGTGACAGGATTTTAGGTATCTTCGAATACAAATTCAAGAAGCGCCAATATTCCAAGCCATGTGCTTAGGACCTAGACCGGCCTTTTTTGTGCAACTGGCGATCAATCCACTCGTTTTCCGCAAAAGCCACTGTTGACCTAGTAGGACTCTCAGTGTATTAGTTTGAGATGTCCATCTAATAGCTGGAGTGCAGGGGGCTTTAGTACCTGGTTTGGTGGCGCGGGTACACGGATGAAGTCAGGACTTGCAGTCTTGATCACGTACTCTTCTCATATCCCCAACTCTAACCTCGATGAACAGTCTTCAAGAAGTAGCAAATCGGCTGTAGGCTCTGATTCTCTTTCCATACCGGAAGAACAGATAAGGGAAAGGCATCATGGCAACTGTGAGAAAAGCTAGCACAGATGAAGCCCAGTGGTTGTTGAGCTTGGTATACATCTGGTTACCAAACAGGGGAAATGCAGCTGCAGGACTCAAGTTAGCGATATTTCATGCAGCTGAATCTCAACAACTTTCCGGGCTGGCGTCTCATGCTCCCCAGAATAGGCTATGCCAGGGGAAGTTGGTAGCCAGCCGGCGGTGAAGAATCAGACAAGTCCATGGGAGTAGATACTCCAACAACTTACCAGCAAATACACAACGCACGAATGCATTAGCAGCAAGGGCACTCGCGGCATACTGTGGATACGCATCCACCTGTTTCCATCAAAGTCAGCACAGTCTCTTCCCTGGCACGAGCACACTCCTGTCACAATGGCTAGCAGAGAGCTGTGTAACGTGCGGTGAGCCTGTCACAGACTTGTGGTACAGACACAGAGCTGGACTTACTAGAAAGGTGAAGACTCCACTGAACACAAGGAGGATTCTATATCAGAGTTAAGCGGTTAGCTGCAGTTCGCCAAGCAGAAGTTCAGGGGATACGAGATCAAGAGGCATGACCAAGCGGTGACTAAGACATCTTTTTGCTCTTCTTGTGCGAATGTGATTCCGCGCGTCCGGTTCTTGTCTCAGTCCCGTGTAAAGTGGACTTGAGTATCACGGTGTTCCCATTGAGGACGCCTCCTTGAGGCCTGCGAATGGTTTGGTTTGATATGGGATGGAACGTGATGACTTACCCAGCTCCAAAGACTGCCGATCCAATTATGGGCACAATCCAGTGAACCCAGGGATAACACGACCAAGCAAACATGAATATGCCAACTGGGACAAGGACACCTCCCAAGATGGCTGGGGGTAACCTAAACTCGGGCTGGCTGTTTCCTTCAACGCCGGTCTCATCGCTCAATTTTCGAATGAGTTTGTTGCGAATATTGTGCCACAGGGGATCAAGGCCTGCAGCGAGCAACATTCCCACGAGGATGCCGAGAAAAGAGCAGCCATTCTGCCAAAGGTTGAAGCCGTAGATATCGCCAAATACAAGGTGAAAAGCCCCAAAGAAGAGATATAGAATTCCGAGGACGATGGCCGTGAAGATACATAGGTTTAGGCACATAGGCTCGAAGATTAATAACTGGAATGGTCGTAGAAGCGATCGACCTATCGCGCTGGTGGCTGATTTCTGAACCTTTTCTGTAGGGGCTTTCCATCTCCCATCTCCAGTTTCCTTTCGCAGCTGTTTTGCTTTGTTCTTGAGCAGGATCGGATCTAAGTAGAGGTCAGTTGGGACAAATTGGCTCTGGATGCCAATTTGGACTCACGATATGTCTCAGGGACAAGAAACACAATACCCAATAGTAGAACAAATGCCCAGATCAGAAGAGTCCAGTGAGTCCACCTCCAGTCAGTGTTATAGTTGATGAAACCCCCAATTAAAGGCCCAATCGACGGACCTACAAAGGGTGCGAGTGAAAACATCAACATTGGCGCTTGCAACTCATCTGCCGTGAAGAGATCTCCAACAGTACCTCCTGACACAGCCAGAAATGCGCTACCGGCGAACCCATCGAGAAATCGACTCACAATCACGGTCTCGATATTCTGAGCCACGGCTTGAGGAATGATGAAGATGACGTAAAGAGTCCACGAAACAATATAGATAAGTCGTCGACCATAGAATTCGCTCAGGGGACCGAGGAACATGGGGCCCAGTCCGATACCTAAAACAAAGAACGAAAGACCAAGGATGGAGACTTCTCGTGAGTTGCCAAATTCATCCTCCATCTGTTCATACGTCGATGTGTAGATGGAACTAGCAGCAGTTCTATGTCCACATAAGTTCCCGTCCCGGTTGAAGATGCTGAAGAAATACCTACACGCAGAGACTCCCGGACGAGACAATAATGATAATGAGCCACTTCTTCGTCTTGTGAAAGCTCCGGGGGCATAGAATGTCGTTGTCACCCCCATCCCAGCCGACTTCGAAAGGATCCTTCTCGACTTCATCATCCGACGGCTCGTTGAGGGGGTTGCAGCTGTAACCATTCTGTGACTGACAACGGGATATCCTGGCAGATGCTCGTGAGCGAGTTCTAATTGCTTGTGGTGATTGAATGGGCGCAAAAGTTGGGTCGTTCCTTTCAGGGCCGAGTGTCCCTGAATTCGTTGACGTCTTTTCAATGTCGCGATCCATGTTAGTCTAGACACGGAGTTATGATTCGTGGAGACCTGTTGAGCTCTAATCCAGAGAACCAACTTCTCGTAGTCAAGATAACTTGGTATTTAAAAACTATGCCAAGACTCTGGTCCTCCTAGTCCTTATATACACTCTAACAAAGCTCTTCCATTCCTCACCACCACAAAGCTAGAACCTCGACTATCTCGTACCGATGAAATCACCTCTTGTTGTCACCGCTGACCAAAAACATGACTTGGCACCCTGCAAAGATGCGAAATGTTTATTAATACCCAATCAAAGCTGACAAGCTAGGGTCTCGAGAGGAGCGATCGGCCGCCGTGGCTTACTTATTGAACAGCTTGACTTTAGGAGAAGCAGAGCGCGTATCCCGCATCCCGTATTTACGAAGTAGGCGATTTCTAGTGAGGTAAGGTTCACGGTATTCCCACGAAAATCACATCTTGAGATGGACAAGTTGACGATGAGATGCTGATGTGCTGATGTGCTGAGACGGGCAATTATTCCCCCTCTCCGTGTTGATCTTGGCGATAGATTGTTAATACTACATTGCGTATTAAGACTGACGAGCTCTTGTTTCGGCTTTCGGCGTTTGAGCTTTCTCAAACTGTCTTTATTGAATTCTTTCGGCTCTTGAACATGGCAAATATTCTACACTTCCTTGTCTCCTTCAGTTTCTCGGGGAAAGGGAGAACAAGAGCTCAACAATAATCTCATGATTCTTAATTGATATTTCCCCGCATATCGAGACTTGTGAGGCTCTCTTTTAAAGAGTCGTCAGTACAGAATTGAGAGTAATGGCTGCGCCCATGATCAAGTACCTTGAACTTGATCGAACATCAGTGGCTACGTATCACGCTAACACTCATCATCTTCAGGTGGTCGAATGAGAGAGCCTCATGCTCAAGCAATACGACCCTGCAAGAGTTCAAAAACCCGGTTATTCTTCACATGCTGATGGACATATTGTCCGACTCCGTCCACAAGAACCCCTTAGCTATTTCGAGTTGACGAACCAGGGCTCGAATCACTTGCACATCCCAGACACGGCTCAACAGGGGCCAAACGGGACCAATTATCAGGTGTCTTGGCAGCTCTCACGATGTCTGATAGGATGCTCAAGACGACATGCGTACATGTCGTCATCCAGTTTCACTCGTACCACTGCGGGCGCTGGTAGGGTTGTAGTGCGGGACATCAGTCAAGGCTCGGTCAGCAGAACGGAACGCCAGGAAATATGCCCGTGATTTTGAGACATCGTATGTTGTAGGGTAAGCAGGTCCCTTGATGCACACCAGTCCAGTCGTAGTTAACGAACAGATGCAATTAAAGAGTCATGAGGAGAGGTAAGGTATGTCACATCTATGCCTTCGAATAGTCAATGGTTGTCGAGACAGTTATCAGCGCTCAAGAGCCATGACAATCGCACCAATCCCGCTTCTACCATGAGCTTGAATTGCAACTCAGAGATGCACTTCCAAGGCACACTGCAGCTGCACTGCCCAGTCTGGCAGAAGCGAACGAGGCAAAAGTGCTGCAACTATGCATGTAATTCTCGCAATAGGGCTCACTCATGATGCGCCTGCGACCGGCTGAACTCTTTTCTTTCCCACCATGACCTTGTCCCATTGGATTCTCTAGGGAACAGCCTTTCTTTCCTTGTGATTATTGACCTGTTTTTGGTTACACCTGGCTGTTGTGATCGGGCCAAAGTTTGGCCTCTGATGGTGTAGTGAAAGGCTGTCAGAATTCACAAACAGACTGATCGCAAACACACAGAAGAAGCCCTCAAAGGAAATAGAAACTTGACTGAAAAAGAGGACACATAGCTCTATCTGGCTCAACAGAAACACAATCAATTGACCCAGTTGGCCAAGAGTTCTCGGCTGATCATAACCGCCAACGTCGCGTTGAGTTGTGTTGGGTTGCGTTGCGTTGCCTTTGGATCCCCTCCAACACTCGCACCATGAACATAAACATGGCGGTTTCTTTTTGACAACCCCCATTTCTCTGACGAAAACCTATTATTACAACTGTCGAAATGTACAGATTTCTTTCCATCTTTTAGGCGCTTACCTCGGATCGCTTCTTTGGGCCACGCCGAGTCGCAATCATAATCCTGTCCACCAATGGATTCGCATTCAGCAGCACGCTCAAACGTCATTTCGGAACCTCTACGACGCGGGGAGACGAGGGGAAACAAGACGAGACGCGGGGTTTTATTTGTTTGAGCTGGTTATAAAAGGTCGCGGTTTTC